GGTGGAGACGGAAAGGTCCACCCTGGGAAGGGGGAATGCCTGGTTCAGACCCCAGAAGTGCCTGCTCAGGAGTCATCTCATAGTGATGAGAGCAGTTCACACGTAGGAATCAACTGTCTAACTGTAAGCTTTCTAACTGTGCTGTAAGCTTTCCTCTTCTTAAATTCTAATAATAATTCTATGACAGAAAAGTGTTATTATTTCCACTTCACAGATGAGAAAACTGAAGGCAGAAAGGTTATATAACTGCTCAAGTCCACATAGGAGGTCCTGGACTCAGCTCAAGTCTCACTGAATCTGATCCAAGCTCTGACGGCTCTGATGTCCTAGATCACCTAGTCTCACACCTAACAAGTGTCAATGAGTCAAAGATTAAAACATAAGCATTCAATGTTAAAAGTTCCAGAAGAAAACGAAAGAGAATTAGAGAATTAAGAACATACCTTTGAATTGGGGCAAACTTTTTATGCAAGATATAATACCCAGAAAGCCTTAAAAGTGGTTGATATTAATATGTTTAACATCATAAAAATAATAATTTCATATGGCAAATCATTCATGGACAAAACCGAAAAGTGAACTGGAAAATATTTCTATTCTTATGCTAGAAACAGGACAAATTTTCTACAAATGTCTATTTCCTATAAACTAATTGGGGGGAAAATCTGCACAGCAAAGGATATAAGCAGATATTATAGCTCACAGTTAACAGAAAAGAAGATTAAAATGAAAATAACATGAAACAATGATCAACTTCATTTATATAAAAAATGCTCATTAAAACCCTTACCAATTTGGCAAAGAGGAAAAGTTTGTTCATTATGTGTTGGTGGGAAACCTAAACATAATTGGTAGGAGTGTAGACAAGAAACCCTTTGGAGGGTAATTTAACACTATCCATCAAACGTTCAGATGTACATGCTTTTGATCCATTAGATCCACCTAAGGATATATCCTGAGGTATATACACATGTGTGCAAAGACCCAAAGCCAAGGATATTCACTGTAGCATTGTCTGGAGCAGAAAGAAATAATCTAACTACTGGTGAGAAGTAGTCCAGAAACGGAGCCCCACGTGGAACATCTGTGGCCATTAAATGAGACACGTCCAAGTGTACAGACCCGGAGTGGGCTCCTGCATGTGGTGTTATGAGAAAAGGTGAGGAGCAGAACAGTGTGTGCTGAGTATGTTCATGTATGTGCAGATACTTGTACATGCTCATAAATGTGTAGACTGTCTCTGGATGGTACACAAGAAGCCGATAATAGTGCCAGCCTGTGGAAAAAGGAACTGGGCAGTGGGAGTCAGAGAGGCATGTAACTTCATTTTCAATCTCTATTTGCCCTCCTTTTTTAACCATGTGAAGGTATAATCTGTTTAAAATTTAAATAGCGACTCAGTGTAGCTAAAATAGTTTCCTCATCCTTCAAATGGGGATAATCATTAGTAATTGCCAGCTTTAACGGGGTTGTCCTGAGGATGACTAGACACTCAGTGTCTGATGGAGCTTCTGAAATGTAGGGACTGGAATCACAGACAGTGAAATCATCAAAATCCACCTAAAAATAATCCTAATTATGGTAATGATAATAACAACTAAATACTTACTCCTGGGTGCTTTTTATGTATCATCTTATTTAACCTCCCAGGATATTCACAATTCTCATATTCACAATTCTCATCCCATTATTCAGATGTAGGAATCCAAGGCTTAGATGATACAGGAACTAAGTATTGCTCAGCCAGTAAAATGTAGATCTGGGACTTGAACCCAGGTCTGTTTCACTCCAGAGTCTACACCTCATTGATTTTCTTACCAAGGGTCCAGCCCTGGCTCCCAGGAAGCTCTCACAGGGTCAGCATGTAGTGCCACCTTCCTGGGATCCTAGGGCCACCATAACAATGTTCCAAAAACTGGTGACTAAAAAAAACTGAAAACTTTTTTTTTTTTTAATTTTTAAAAGCCAGAACATTTATTGCTCGACTAATTGTTGAAATCCTTAGGATGAACTGGATGCTGCAACAGCCGCTCGCTTGGGTTTAGGTGTTGTTCCTTCACAGAACCCTTGCCTGAATCTGCGGTATACAATTTTTAGGTGCCTCATTCGACCAGTCCCGGTGTTATTTCGCCTTTTAGCTTTAGCACTCCAATTATACTTTCTCTTTCGCTTGGCAGGGTAGCCACACTTGCCACAGGTCGGCTTCTGAAGGTGGTAGACCCTAGAGCCACAGCGGCGGCACAGCGTGTGCGTCTTATTCCGACGCTTGCCAAACGATGACGTTCCCTTCGTCTTCTTGCTTCTGCCGCCGAGACCAAAAAGAAAAACTGAAAACTATTGTCTCACCATTCTGGAAGCTAGAGTCCAAAATCAAGCTCTGGGTCAATTCTGTGTCTGGTGAGAGAGGGATAGGGCACTGTGTTGTGGGGACCTGCTGACCTTGGCATTTGTGTCATGACCTGTTCAGAGGGACCTGGTAGCACAGGCTCACCTGGCTCTTCTCAGTCAGCCTCCTGTGGGTCGTGCTGAGGAGTCCATCCTACACCCCAGGCGTGTGCTACTCAAGGTTACACTTCACTAGGACCAGGACTTGGTTCCAGAATTGCTTCAAATTCATTGTACTAGGCTGCCTTTCAGAAATCTAGGGAAAACATTAAGGGTTTCATTTAAAATATGGACACTGTAGTTCTTTATTCTTGATGAGAAAACATTTACTCTTACTGTCTTAAATGCCCTAGGCATCTGCAGCACTGGGAGCAAGAGTTCTAGAGGACCTGGTCCTGGAGTTGAGGATTCTGGAGCCCATGTTCCCTGGTAGGGGATCTGAGGAGATTCTGTGTTGTTTCAGGTGATCAAGAATCAAGAAGCTGAACCATGGGGCCTCAGCCCTGAGTCAAACTACAGAGTCCTGCTTCAAGTCGGTCCTGGAGCAGACACCCCAACCTGGGTCAGCTTCCAGGACAAGTACCAGCAGAGGGTCCATGTGCCCAACATCTTGTCCCTGAGATCTGAGAACCTGACCTTTGAGGACAGTGGGCAGTACTGGCTAAAACCAGGTTAACTGGAGGAATAGAACTTAACAGGGTTTTCCATCTCACTGTCTATCATAAGTGACAACCTCTCACCCCATCCTATGGCTTCCCTCCTTTTGTCTCTAGAAGTGTCACATAGGCCAATTTTGTAGAATTTCATTTATATCCCAATTTTCAGATTCTATTTTATCCTTAGAAATTAGGAATGAGTGGGTTCACCATAAATGGAGAGCACTCCAGTTAAGATTCACACCAGGGATAAAAATTACATAAACATTTTGGGAGAGGAGAATGGAAATTTAGGGAGACAGAATTTTTGCCACAACACTTCTTCATAGGACTAACTTTATTTAGTTTGTGTATTAGTTGTCTATTGCTGCTATAACAAATTACTGTAAATTAGTGGCATAAAACAACATAAATGTATTACCTTCCTGTGCTGTAGGTCAGCAGTTAGACACAGTCTCACTGAGCTAAAGTCAGGGTGTTGTCAGGCCTGTGTTCCTTTCTCCCCTAGAAGAGGAGGCATTTTCTTGTCTTTCTAGCCTTTTAGTGGCTGCCTACCTTCCTTATCTCCAGACTACCTTCCTCCACTTCAAAGCCTGCAGTAGTGGAATCAATCCTTCTCACACTGCAGTTCTCTGACCTCCTCCTCTTCTTCCTTCTTCCACTTCCAAGCACCCATGTGATTACATTAGTTCCATCCAGGTAACCCAGAACAATCTGGCTTAAACCTTTTTTATGGTCAGCTGATTAGCAAACTTCATTCCATCTGTTACCTTCATTCCCCTTTGCCATGTAACCTAATATATTCACAGGTTCTGAGGATTGGTCGTGAACTTATTTGGAGGTCTCTATTCACCTATCATGGGCTTCCCTGGTGGCTCAGTGGTAAAGAATTTGCCTGCACGGGAGATGTGGGTTCAATCCCTGGGTGGGGAAGATCCCCTGGATGAGGCCATGGCAACTCACTTCAGTATTCATGCCTGGAGAATTCCATGGACAGAGGAGCCTGGAGGACTGCAGTTCACAGGGTCACAGAGTCAGACAGGACTGAAGCTACTGAGCACATATGCACGCACTCACCTACCGTATTTTGAAATCTGTGTGAAGTTAGTTCACCTGCCCCCTCCTCTCACTCAGCACCAGCCTCACTCACAAAGACTCCCCAGATCCAGCTCTGAAATTATGATTAGATGTAGGAGAAAGTTTATACTGCAACATTTCTTAAGACCTCCATTTGGCAACTCTTTCTTTCCCTAAAGTTCCTGTTACATAGGAAAATATCAGCTATAAGAAAGTGACTTTGACAGCCTCAGGTCCCCGTATGACTTCTAAGACTAACTTCCCAACCTGTCACTTCTCTTCCTGTCTCTGCCTAAAGTTCAGTGGCAAGCTCTAACGAGACCTGGAGTTGTCATTCCTAGTCACTACCACTATATCTCCCACAAATGTCTCTACTTTGAGAAGCATGGGCTTTCTCTGGCTTCCCAGAGCTGGCCTGATGCCCTGTCTCCCAATGGACATCCTAGGCATCATCTCAGCAGGAGAATCAGCACAAGGGCCAACCCTTCTGTTCCGGACTTCTTCTCCTTCTAGGAAAGACTCCAATTTCAAAATATAAGAAGACTTGGATAGGTGAGCTCCAGGCTTTATTTTCTTGTGAAATATTTTTAAGACTTGCTCAAACTAGTGAAATTTTGTAGGACTTAACTCAGTGACTCCCTTCCTTATTGTCACTGCTATGTATTTATCTTTGGCAAATTGTTGTGGAGGGGATTCCCTAAAAATGACCCCACCTTCCAGAGTTTCAATGAGATAGTGAATAATAAAGCAAGAACTGGAATGTTCACCACTCATGTGAGGCTACTTTCTTTTATCTCATTAGTCCCAGAGCCCACGACCCTTCCCCAGATCCTATTCAAGTCATCATCTGTCACACCAAACTGGTGTGATGTCACCCTGCAGTGCAAGGCCTCAGAGAACAGAGAGGACCTGAAGGTGACCTGGGAAAGCAAGGGCCTCCCCAGGGAGCTGGTGTGGAGGACATTGGGACCAGCTGCCAACTCCCAGAGCCTGCCTGTGAGCCTGCCCCTGAACCAGCCCAGTGCCAGCCTCACCTGGGTGGTCAGCAACCCAGTGGACCAGAAAACTGCCACATCAGACTTGGGGGAGTCTGTTCCCATGGTGAGGGCATCTTCCAGAGGGAAGCAGCACTCTGAGAGCTCAAGGGCACTGAAGTATGGGTTCTGGGCTTTTCTCCCCAGTGTGTTATTAGCATCGCCTTCCACCAGGTCACCCCAAAGAGGAGCTTGAGAAGCACAACCAGTTTGCTTCTGCTTTTAAACATCCCTCACAGCCATGTTCTCCTCTCCACCCCTTGCCCCTGCTGGTCCAGGCAGCAGCCTTCCAGTATCTCTCCCCACACGCATTCATCATTCATTGTGTGTCTAGAGAGGTCTTTAGGAAAAGTGAATTGGATTGTGTCACTTGTCTGCATCATCTGAGGGAATCTCTTAGCATTCAGAGCTCAGAGGCTCCTCTGCTCATATTTCTTACCGCACACCCTTCACACTGAATTGCTTGCTTGGCCTCCCTGAATGTGTCCTGCAATTGCAAGCTTCTGAGCCCCCATAAATGCTCTTCCTCTACCATCAGCACTCCCAAATCAGGAGTCTTTCACTTCCTTACTCCTGTTGAAAGATTCCCCTTGGTCACAGCCGAGTCATGGACGTGTGCTAGTGCAGTCACACAGGACCATGGGCTTGGCTATGGTTCTGCTCCTACTAGAGTTGGAACAAAGAGAACCTCACTCTCATTTTGGGCACAGCCCTGCAGGTTCCATAGCCATCCTGCCCTCAGCATACCTACTTTAAGGAGCTGTCCATGACCACCCCACACCGAGAAGCAATGCTGTTTGTGGGTTTGTCTCTTCCAGAGCCTGGAGCCCCTTAAAGGTAGAGGCCACGTCTTGTCTTCTGTAAATCTGTGTCCCAAGCAGAGCTTCTGGCAGTTTGCTCACAGTCAGGATCCCACTGAATGTGTGAACGACCTGGTACCCTGGATACAGTCTTGCCCTTCTAACCCATCCTCCACTGGGTAGACTTGCTGGGAGAAGCTAATGTATCAGCATCACTTAAAGTTACCTGTTACCCTCCCCTCAGCTCCATCCTGGACTCTCAGATAAAGTTCAACTCAGCATGACCCAGTGGGACATGGAGAAAGACTCCTTCCTTCCTCCGGTCCTCCTCGCCTGGCTCCTCCCTGCCCTGTCCCTCTCCTGATTGCTGCAGCGAGGTGATGGCAACCCCCAGGGCTGATGGTCTGACACAGACATTCCCTGAACGTGGTGCTTCTCCTTTCCGGAAGGCTGCGCCCACCCTGGATAACAAATTCCTACTCCTTCCTCAAGGCTCAGCTTATGCATCACCTCCTCTGGAAAGCCCTCTATGAAGACCTGTGTACAAGGTGCACACCTCTATGCACTGCCATCTCTCTAGCTGGCAGATTTTGGTGTTCTCTCAGCCTTCCCCCTGGGTGATCAGTCATGTTCACCTCAGTATCCCTGGCACCAGAAGCTTGGGACCTGGTTGGGTGAATGAACCTGCCACCCTCCTCCCTCTTCAGCTTCTGAATCAGGACCCTTTAGACCTTTCCACCTGTCTTCTCTCTGTCTCCCCTTGGCAATGGGTATCTCAAGTTCTGTCTTGCCTTAACCTTCTTCATTCTCTCAGTGGGAGGGAAGGAAACAGGTTCACATGGACAGGCCAGTGTTGACAGTCATCGTAGCGGGCCTGTGGCTGTGCTGTGGATCCCGGGAGGTGGACTGTGCCATTGAAAGGTATGTGGGAGAGGAAAGAAGATGGAGACGAAAAAAGCAGGTCATACTTCTCCTTCCTGCCCCAGCCCCCCACCCCCCAACACTGAACCCTTGGCTCTCTTTCTCCTGCATTTTGCTGCTCAAGGAATATCTCTGCACTGGGGATGATGTGTGTGGCCTTGGCCCTTAGTTCATAGTCTTCGGGGGAAGGTACGGGTTTTCAAACTCCCAGTTCCAGCTGTACTCCGTGTATGAGTACAAGAGGATCACAGGGACCGTGACGGTGCCACTCACTGTGCAAAGCTGAGTCAGCAGGGGTCTTGAGAGGACAGAGACCCATGAGAGATGGGAGCTGGGAGCTGTGCACAGACCTGGTTCTCCTGGGTCTGCCCTCCCCCAGGTCTGGGTCCTCTGCCTTTCCTGGCCCAGCTGTCTCTTTAACTCTTTCCAGGCAGTCACTGGTACTTACTAAGGAAATTTATAACTGGGGCCAGTGTAGTGCTGGGCACTTTGGGAGAATGACCATGCAGTTCATGTCAGCAGCATCGGTCCCCAGTGAGTCACTCTTCGGCCTCTCTGTCCCCCAGCTATTGCAGGAACCCTCTGTCTTGCATCCCTAGGGAATGGGTGAACAACCTCTAGAAGAAAAGAAGCCTCTCACTACTGTGTACAGTGAGGTTCACAAGCCAGGAAGACAGGCCATAAAAATAATTTAACTGGAGAAAGCAGAAGAATCAGAACTACTAGGACACCTCCATTCGAAGCTTGATTCTTGCAGACACCTGCCGCTCTCAGCTCAGGTTCAGCTCCAGCTGCCCCTGCCCTGGCTCTCCCAGGTCACTTTTAGGTCTCCTCTGTTCTCTGAGGCCCTGAACTCCAGGATGACATCACAGCAGTTTGGTGTGACAGATGAGGACTTGAACAGGACCTGGGGATGGGGCATGGGCTCTGGGACAGACGAGATAAAAGAAAGGAGCCTCAAGTGAGTGGAGAGCATTCCAGTTCTTGCTTTCTTATCCATTATCTCATTGAAACCCTGGCATCTTCCCTCTAAGAAAGGTGGGGTCATTTTTAGATAAAACACAATTGGCAGCCATGAAATTAAAAGATGCTTGCTCCTTGGAAGAAAATCTATGACAAAACTAGACAGAATATTAACAGGCAGAGACATTACTTTGCTGACAAAAGCCATCTAGTCAAAGCTATGGTTTTTCCAGTAGTCATGTATGGATGTGAGAGCTGGACCATAAAGAAAGAATTTGATGCTTTTGAACTGTGGTATTAGAAAAGACTCTTAAGAGTCCCTTGGACTGCAAGGAGATCTAACCAGTCAGTCCTAAAGGAAATCAGTCCTGAATATTCATTGGAAGGACTGATGCTGAAGCTGAAGCTCCAATACTTTGGCCACCTGATGCGAAGAACTGACTTATTGGAAAACACCCTGATGCTGGGAAAGACTGAAGGCAGGAGGAGAAGGGGACAACAGAGAATGCGATGGTTGGATGGCATCACCAACTCAATGGACATGAATTTGAGCAAGCTCCGGGAGTTGGTGATGGACAGGGACGCCTGGCGTGCTGCAGTCCATGGGGTCACAAAGAGTTGGACACAACTGAGCAACTGAACTGAACTGAACTGCCCCTAGTCTACATTACTGTGACCCTCCTGCCCTCAAGTCCCCAGGCACACATGGCCCTGTCATGACCTCTGACACCTCCCCAAGCTGCCCTCCCACTCAGGATCCCCACCCTGCAGGATGAGAGCTCTTCTTCCATCATTGACTCAGCTCCTGACTCTTCTCCTGAAGCTCCCCAAAGAGGACCTTCCTGAGCATGACAGTCCCCACAGCCTCTGCGGTGTGGCTGGTGTGTTTCTTTCTGAGAGCAGGGGCCCCGGCAAAGTCACCATGAAACCTCTGCTTCAAAAGGCACTGTTTCCTTTGCTCTGTTTGGCTGCTGCCTCTGCCACATTAGGGGCAATGTCTTACCTTCCAGCGTCCTGTGTTCCTGTGTCTCGAGAGAAGAACGATCGTAGTCTCAAGCCCTCTCTCCATCCGCTACCCAAACACCAGCCTGTTTCCTTCCTCTCCTTGGAGCTGAGGGGGACATGTGGGGTGAGCCAGGGGCCAGGACAGCCTCCCATTGCCCCCTCATTCAGGGACCGCTGAGCTGTGGCATCACCTGCAGAGGTGGGGGAGGTGCGGGGCAAGTTGAGCCCTGGCCTCTCTCCTGCTGGTGACCTTTACTGTGGTCACAGGCTGTTTCCAAGCTCTTCAGGGTGGGGTATAAGGAGGCAGTGGTGGTTATGCTGCAGAGGCTGCATAACCCTGGGTGATCCAGGCTCCAATTTAATGACTTAACCTCTGCCCTTGACCCCAAAACCTCCTTGTGATGAAGAGAGATGGAGCTCTAAAGTCAGACCCACCAGGTCCCAAATTCTGGTTCTGCCACATAATGGCCATGAAGTCTTGGGCAAAAGACTTATATCCAGGGACAAGTGGCTTTACCTGTCTGAGCTTCAATGTCCTCCCCTGTAAAAAGGGTAAGACCTGACTTTGAGGTGTTACGTGGGAGATTAAATGAAGTAGAACACGTTCTGACCAGTGTCTGACACAGGGACACAGGTTACTCATATATATTATACTTTTCTCTCTTGATGAAAAATTTGTAAATAGACACTGGAAAAGATAAAAGATGGTATTGTTTCCTTGATTCATAACTGACAGTTTTATCATGATCCAACAGTTTAAAAAGAAAATGTTTTCCTGGGATCCAAGGTAGTTGTGGTCACATAGAAACTACACACTTTCCCATACTCCCCTCTTCCCCTCCACCTCTTACACGTGGTGAACATCCTTGTAGAAACCTTTAAAAAATTCAGTTCCCTCTTACAAATCAGTAAGAGAAATACTGCCTTTATTGTTGATAAGTAAACAAAGGATATGAACAGATAAAACGCAAAGAAAAAATAGATACAAAAAGTATAAAAGATAGTTATCAGCACATGTAAACAAAAAAAAGCAGAGTAGGAAAACTGGATAGCATATTTTTGCCTATCAAAGTAACAGGTGTTTTTCTTTAATGAGAACACGCCAGTGGCAATGGGACAGTGTGACAGGTGCTCTCATATATCACATTCAGCTTTTAAATGAGTAAAAAACTTATTGGTAGTTCATTTGATGTGTCAGAAACATTTAAACAAATAAATGTTTGTACTTTTTCCTTGGTAACTCCACGTCTGGGATTTAACCCCAGAGAAGACCCCATCCTGCAGAAGAAGGCATGCACAAAGGCATTCCTTTTGGTTTACTTGTAATAATGAAAGGGCATCCCTGGTGATTCAATGGTAAAGAATCTGCATGCAACTGTGGAAACCACATTCAATCCCTAGGTTAGGAAGATCTCCTAGAGAAGGAAATGGTAACCCACTCTGGTATTCTTGCCTGGGAAATCCCATAGACAGAGAAGCCTGGGAGGCTATAGTCCCATGGGGTTGCAAGAGTCAGAGACAACTTAGCAACTAAACCATCACTGAAAGAAAGTGAAAGTGAAGTCGCTCAGTCGTGTCCAACTCTTTGCGACCCGGTGGACTGTAGCCTACCAGGCTCCTCCACCCACGGGATTCTCCAGGCAAGAATACTGGAGTGGGTTACCATTTCCTTCTCCAGGGGATCTTCCCAACCCAGGGATCAAACCCAGGTCTCCCGCATTGGAGACAGACACTTTAACCTCTGAGCCACCAGGGAAGCCCATAAACCATCACTACCACCACCCATAATAATGAAAACTTTGGAACGCAATAAGAGGATAAATTACTTAAGACCAAAGGTTACAACATGAAGGTGGTGACAATGACCACTATAGGTAAACAGTGTTGGCTGGGTGAGTGAGAAGATAAAAGGACTTGGTTTAGAGGGGGGAAAAAAAAGAACAAATATGTGTTGCACTTCTACCATATGCAAGGTCTATATTAGGAGTATTACATAGGTTATCTCATTTCAGCCTCACACCCTATATGCTTCCTATGGGGTTTCCTAATGAGGCAGGAAGGGTCATACAATGGAAGACCCCCTGCTAAGCACCAGGGACTGTGACATATGTCTGGGATCTGGCTTTACACATGAACCCCATTAAGTAGATGACACGACCCTCATTGTGCATTTGTGGAAACAAAGGCTCAGAGAGGCTAATTAACTTGCCTGCGGTCTCAGAACTCAGAAGTATCACTAGGCATCTAGGAGCTCCAGGACCGTGTTCTGTCTCACACTGCAGAGAGGTGGACACAGGCTGCACTGCCCTCACAGTCCTAACCCCCAGCCACTCCCCCGGAACAGAGAACTCTGACCTCTTAATTCACGGATATGAGAACCTCTGCAGTTTAAAAGAAATTGCTCTCCTCTCACTACTTCTGGCCCTTTCTTCCATCCCCAGCCTCTAGGAAAACGATCCCATTTACATTTCTCAGCAAGGAAACAGCTGCTCCCTTAGTGGCTTCCACCATCTGAATTCTCTTTCCTTTTTCTAGTCAACAAATGCTAAATTACCTCACTGGGGTCATGGAGTTTGTGGGGCTAGTGAGTAGTTTAGGCAGGCTGTCCTGATGGTTTTTTTTTTTGGTTTTTGTTTTTTGAGATGCAGTTTCATCTAGGCCGGCCCCTCTGTGCTTCCAGAGCACTTCCACTGTTCTGCCATTACAGCACTCTTCAAAGTTCTCAGAGGGTGGTGTACGTGAGAGGGCAAGGGGTACACAGAAGCCACCTGCCCATCTGCTGTCTGTCTGTGCACTTTAGTTGCAAAACAACCACTGAGGACTGGAAGGCCCCCCAAAGAAAATGCAGCTGCTCCTGCCTCACGCAAACAGACATCAGCTGAACTATAAGCAGATCAAGAGCAACAGTCACAAGGCTGTGTGCAGTCCCGCCGGAGAGGGAGGGCGGGGAGCTGGGTGGGTCCCGGTGGCGCTAACCGTGAGGTCTTTTCCATTCCTTGAACAGTAATGAAACGAAAACTCTTTCCCCTAAA